TTATGCATCAATAAATTTAAATTATATGCTAGTTTCGGCAATTATTTTTTATCCATTTCATATTTTTTCCGGAAGTTTAGTAGGTCAATTCGTCGTAGTGTTTTGCTATACAGAAGAAATTTTATGCTTTAATTTATTCAGCTGATGTCGCGGGGAGACGCTCTCACAACTTTCGAATTGCGTCATATTTGAAAATTCACGATAGTTGTGATTCTTAGTTTAAGTGTAAATAAACTTATTTACATTAATACAGTATTCAATTGCCTGAAATGGTTCTACTATTAATTTTATTAAGGTGACCATATTTTTTAAAGTCAAAACGAGTACGGCAATTTTTAGTTATGCTAATCCGGGACGGGAGTAAGGCTAATAACAAACGCTATTTAAAATATAATAAAAAAAACATTTTTTTTAATCAGAATTGCGGACTTTTAGTAAGAACTCTATTATTCGATTATATATTATACTTTTTTATATATGATAATCATTTTTTTATAAATACAATACTTTATACATACATATTCAACACTTTCAATTTTTAAAATCTGCGCACTTTTAGTAAGAGCTCTATTATTTGATTATATGTAAAACATTTTTTATATGTGCCATGTATAAGATTTTACCAAATTTTCTTCATAATTAATTTAAAAAAAAATAGCAATTTTTCCTTTTCCTTTTTCCTGATTTTTGTTAATTCACGTATAAAATTTCGAAAAACCCAGAACAATCCAGAACAAAAGATATAAATCCGGTACAAATATTACTTTTAAAAAAACCCGGTATACAAGGTGAAAATTCAGAACAGTCCCGGCCAAATCGGAACGTATGGTGACCTTAATTTTATTCTAATTTTATTTACTTTGCAAAAGCATTTAGCCACGTCCTTTTCTACTCAACGTTCTACACCATCTTAATTTTATCATTCTCCTCATTTATTTTTTCACATTTTTCTGTATTAAAATACACAACTTTTTACAAAATAATTTCTATTGCAAATTAAATATTTACATATTAGCATATCTAATATTTTTACTATATCCTAACTCCAATCAAATTTAATTTTTTATATTATGTCTTCATATTTGGTATTACCCAGGGCTCGATCCGAAGTTTCTGGTTCATTGGCAACGAAATGACATGACTTTTTTGGTATTGGTTCAATTTTATTGCTAGAAGAAAAATGTTGTTTACCTGAACCTAATGTGGACGCTGTTAATGATATTTATTGACCTCAATATGTGTTCTGCATTTTTATCATAGTTGTTTTCTTAATTAAATGGTTCACCAGCACAGCATTATTTTATTTTTAAGCTATTGTATGTAATTAGTATTTTTATAAATTTGCTTTTCAAAGATTTGTTGTAAGCCGATGATATAAATTCTTCAGGAGGCAAAAGGTGTGCAATTAGAATATGCTCACACTTGGATTATTTTCTTTCATTTAAAATAAATATTATGCGACTAAACCTGACTAATTTAATGCGTCGTATTGCAAAATTTCATACAAACTTCGTAATATATAAATATGAGACTCATTTTCATGTATGCGTACCAAGACGATAAGTAGTGGACAATCTGCGTAGTTTGTAAAACATCTTTTAGAATGCCTCGTTTTTCTTTCCTTTTTGACTAGTACGTTGTGTCGAACACATTGTAAGATAGTTTTGTTTATTTTATTACCATATTTTGTACAAATATTTTTATATTTTCTGTATATTATGTCAACACACAGGCTGTTGCACTTACCATGTTTTGCATAGTGTTGAATTTAGAACATGATTGTTGTTTTACCATCTGAAGATACAGATTTGTAGTTTGATCGTGATGTGTTTCACTGATGCAATAAATTATTTAAATCGTGCAAGACCAAAGTTTAAAGATTCTGGATGGAACGATATTTATCAATAACGTATTTTAGCAATAATATTTATCAGTAACATATTTCTCAAATATATACATATTTGGTCTATCAGACTTCAGACATATTAGTTATATTTGCAGTAATTAGTAAAAACTACTTAGTATTTTGATATGTAATTCACAAATAATCTTGTATTATCACCTACTTAAAATGTTTTAGTATTTCTAATTAAAATAATTTATATATCTATATACATGTTCTTATTTATATATTGACCATAACATCCTACTTCAGCAGCGTAAGTTTTATAAACTCAAAGGCGCCTCTGGTCTGTATATTTTCCTGACCACGTGCTTGTACACCAGACCGAATTTTATTTTTGTTTGATTCAGCTTTTAGCTGAATATAAAAAGCAGTACCAAGGTTCGAGGTCTATTAGACTTCTTACCGATTTGTACTAGAATCAGGGACTAAATAGCAAATTAAATACGATTTTCGTTTTTGATTTGCGGCCTACACTGTGTTCACACAGTGTATAGTACCTAATTATTTCAAACGTTACCTAATTTACTATAACTCAAGTCTTGTCTATAAAATATAAGGATATTGTGCAACTTTCTTAAAATTCCCAAGTATCGTTATCTGTTTTAAGAAAACGTAATTGGAATTTTAAGAGTTAGTTGCACGAAAGACTGAATATTTCTGGACAAGATTATTGGTTTAGTAAAGACGGTTTCGTTTTATTCGTGCTTTTTGGCCGTAGGTACTAGGCCAGCCCTGGTCTGGTGTCACGTAGTGACCGTCGGAGGCGAAGCGAACAATAGTTTCCAAACCTCCACGTCGCCAACGAGTCACCATGATGCAGCAGGCTTGCGGCCGGCCCGGGACACCGGGTGCTCCGGTGCGGTCCAGCAAAAGAGCCAGTAACAACTCTCGAAGGAAGCATTTCAACAACAATAGGAAAATCCACTCAAACCATCATCATGGAAAGAAGATGTCCCAAGCACTGGCTGAATGTAATAAGATTGCTGCACCGGCTAAAGAAATCCAAGAAGAGAAGAAATTAGAACAACCTGTGGATGTAATGGATTGTGAAGTAACTGCTGTTGATAATGATACTGATAAGGCATTGAATTGTATGGAAACTCTGGAAGCCCAGCTGTTGGAAGCGCTGGCGCTTGAATCCAAATATCAGCCCAATTTATATCTACCTGTTGGCACGGAGGTTAGTAATTAGCTTCAGATTCATGTTATTAATTATATGCTGCAAGTTTATTGGAAATATTATATTTCTAAAATTACCAATTCTCTCTCTGAAATATTGTTAGTTTTTCTAAAATCTATTCACTCTTAAGAATAATTTTAATTAGTTTATTTTGCAAACTTAAAAAGATACCATTTTAACCTGTGTATTTTGACAAGTAACTGCCATTGATAAAAAAAACTGATAATCATAAATTTACAGGAATTTGGTGAGATCACAGCTGGAACCAGAGATGGTGCTGCTCATGTCCTGCGTTGCCTTAAAGTATGGTATGATATGCCATCAGAAGTACTCTTTGCTGCCATCAATTTAGTTGATCGATTTCTTACAAAAATGAAGGTGAGCAATATAATATTTAATCTAGGAAGGGTATTATTGATTTGTGATACTCTCATAATCTGGTTCTGTTTTGGGCCAGCTACCATTTATTATTATTACTTTGAACTATGAATACTAAAATTATATAAGTTAAATAAAAGAAAAATATATATTTTCATCTTAGGTTATAAATTTCTACTTTACATAAAAATATATATATAACCATAGATAAACAAGATTAAAATGTATATAAACTAAAACAAATGCAGTTTTAGATCAGATAATGCAAATGAGGATGATTTATTTTATTCTATTAACAAGCAATTTATGTTACAGGTCAAACCCAAGCACATGGCCTGCATCAGTGTAGGTTCATTATATCTAGCCAATCAACAACTATCATTACCTGCAATGGATCCTGAAGATTTAGTACTTATTTCACAATGCAGATGCACTGCTGGTGATTTGACTCGTATGGCTACAATTGTTGCCGACAAACTAGGTGCCCAACCTGGTTGTCCACCAATTACAGCTTTGACCTTCTTGCGTCCATTACATGCCATGTTTAAGCAAAGGGCTCTGGAATTGGGGGTACTAGAGCCTTTCCAAAAAGTTGTTACTGTAAGTAATTACAATTATATACTATTGTATACAATGTATTTTACATATGTTTAATTAATGTTTTAATTCTCAGGAGGAAGATTTGATAATGCGCCTAGAAATAGTAGCTTGTGATTCAACTTGTGCAAATGTAAGACCATGTGAGCTGGCTCTTGTTTTATTATGCACCCAACTTGATAGCTGTGTGTCTCAATTGGAATCTCATACTGCTCAAACGATGCTTAAATTGGTTGATTTTGCTATTCATATGCAGAAACAGTGCAGGGTAAGAAAAATAATAATAATATCCACAGTCCAAACATTCATATTAATTTTTCCTATTGCTACATTTATATTGTTGATTGATTTTAATTTTGTTTTACCTTTTTTGACTTGTAGATTCCTGACTCCAGCTTCTTCAGTTGTCACGGTTGTGTTGTCAACATACTGTCGAGGTATAACAATCAAGATAAAAGTCCACACAGGCAAAGACTTGTTTGGAAATTATCTTCGCGCACATTGAAACTTCTTCGACCAACAGATCGTCTTACATCACTTCTGCCCACTATTGATGAAAATGGATGTCTACCAAGGCTTAGGTAATTGTTTATTCAATTTAATGCACTTTTTGTTTTAAAAATATTTAATAATTATTAGTTCATTTAGATAAAATTTTGAAATTGGGAAATTGATAATAGTAAAATTATTTTCTATGAATTCTTTAAAATTACTTTGATAAAATTCTATAAAGGTGATTGTTTATTCAATTTTATAGACTTTTTTTTTCTTTAATTGAATATGATATATAAATTTTAGTCCATTGAATTAAAATTTCTGGATTGAGAAGTGAAAAATAATAGTACAATTATTTTTAAATTGTTTAAATCAAATAAAATACTTCCTTGTTACTTTTTTTTAATCATAATAAAATTTTATAACTATTTTTTATTTCAGAACTGGCAGTGTGAGTTCTGTGGACAGTGAAGATACTGAAGATTGGCCCACCAGTCCTCTTGTTCCCGTTTGTGAGCAATGTTAATAGAATTATTTTGCAAAATAGATATTTATATTACATAATCATATTCACAAAATCTATCTGACCAAAGGAGAATAATCACTGAAATTTAAAAATATCTAGTATAATTTAAGTTGTTGGTAAATACCAACGAACTCTCGAAATATTTTTTAAATATTTTGTTTAAAGAATAATTTACTATAGTGATTAATGGGCATATCTTTTTGTGATCTTTATTCAGCACAGATAGTGATTAAAAGTGCTGATGTTTTTTTAAAAATTTAACTCTTATTTTATAAGTGAGTATGTGTTTATTTTTTTATAAAAAGGAGTAATTCTTATTTGACGATGTTTACTATCTGTCTTAGAAGTTTTAATGTATGTTTGAAGAGTTAATTAAATCAATTAATTTTAGTTATAAAAACATAAATATCTTTATCTGAATACCATCTTAATGTAACATCAAGCAAATTCTATGATCTCATTTAAAACTAAGTTTTTTTTACTTGGTCTATTTTCCTTGGGCCGAGAGCGCACATTAATGTTTGTTGAGATAATAGTTTTGGTGGTTTCCAGATATTGATATTTATTAAATGAAAATTATACTTGTTCATATAAGTAACTGCCATGTGCCATTGAAAAAGCACAGGCTTTTACTTTAGTACACTTGTATTATTAAAAAGTATATAATGTATAAAAACAAAAAAGTACAAAATAACATAAAAACTTACAAAAAGTGTAATATTAAAATTTATATAAATTTAGTATGGTTTATGTAAGTCATAATTATAAATAAGTAGTGTTGTAACAATGGTATCATTCTGAGACATGTTACATAATTGAATAACAATACAGAACTTAATGTTTTTAAATTTTTATTGACTCGATTTTTATAATATTTAAATGTGTGATACAATTACAGTGCTACAGTTCAATGTTTGCAAAAATTCATAAGTCAACAAGGAAATCAACAAAAAAAAAAATAGAAGTATTATACAACATTTTTGAATGTTAGGTTTATGGAGTTTTTAACATAAAATGTTAGAATACAAGTAAATGTAAATACATTAATTTATTCATATGTGAAAATATACTTTCATTTTTGTAGAAAATAACTGTTTTTCTTAGTTTTTATGGTAATTTCCAACCATAATATAACTTTTGATTAAGTGGTTCAACTACAAATCCTCTTCATCAGAATTCTTTTGTTCTGAAGCACCAGATAATGATGATAAGCTTTCTGTGTCCCCATAAGCTTCATCTATCAAGTCAATGGAAGCTCGTATATCTGCTTTCAATTTTTTTTGTGCGGAGGAAATGCGCAATGTTCTTTGAATGCTAGATTCAATTTCTTCTTCCATGTTTTCTAAAGAAGACCTGACCATATTTGCAAAGTCTTTGTATTTCCCATCTTTATGCATAACTTCACTTTCTAGTGTTCTGGCTAAATATAAGATCTTTTCTATTTTCCTTTTAAGGATTGCATGGATTGGGGTTTCTCCTAGATGTACACGCGATAGGGTTTTGAAGTTGTTGAAGCATTCAAACGCTAGTAGGATTGATCTCATCTGGTTTTGTTCGGTAGTATCAATGTCTGTTTTAAGTTCCATATTCCTTTGTGTTTAAGAACCCGTTTATACTTGAAATATTGTAAAATAATTTAAGTACCGGGGTGTTGAAAACAGCGAAAGTAAAGAAGTAAAGTTTCTGCAGCTAGATTCGAAAATAACTTAAAAAAAATACGGGATACCAACATTCAGAAATAAAACTTCCTAAGTTTATTGAGTTTTTAAAATGATATGTTGAAATGAAACTTAAATAAAAAAAATTATTAATTTGGAAAATAGTGTTTAATTTTTTTAGAAGATGATAGTTTTTCTTAGTATATTAAATCTTATGGCATTATCTTAGCATTATGCTTATTTATCTATGATCTCAGTGTTTCAGAAGGTATTCTTGTTCAGTATTTAATTTAAAAGGCATTTGAAATAGCACATTGAATTGGCTGCATTAAATGATATTTTTGAAAGTATTTTACTTAGTAAATACATTGATCAAATTCGAATTTATTAAATTCTGGTCTAGAAATTTAAAATAAAATTCTGTAGTTTATGTATCCGTCACCTTGAATACAAGAGCGCTGCTGTCGAAGAATTTGCGTAATAGTGTGTGACCTAGACTAAAAATATAATATATGGTATTTGACCTCCTGACAGTTCGTGGTAGTTGTTCATGTGCGCAAAACATAACCAGCAAATTTGTAAGTTCCAATAATAAATTTAATTGTTTAGTAATGTTTTATGTTTAAGTTTATTTATAGATGATTATTATGCATTTTGATAAATGAATATAAAGTAAATTTAATTTAACAAACTGTATGATTGTTTATTATAAAGTAACTACAAGTTTTCACAAGATTTTATGCAGTAACAAACATTGCAAATTTCTACAAGATTTATTACATAGTTTTTGCATGATTTTATATAGTAACTACAAATTTTTACAAGAGTTATTGACATATTTGTACAGATTTTACATAGTAATTACAAATTATTGCAAGATTTATTTGTGTAGTGCAGTTTATTGAGAGGAGATAAAAAATTGTACCGATTTAGAGTAAACCATTTAAAAATAATTATTTTAATAGACATACTATATAAATTGATTTATTGGTTTTATTGATCTGTTTTCACATATTTATAAAAATGTTGCAATAAGTCTATGAACAGAAGAACATACATTTACAATTATATCTAAATTAATTTTCTGCAGTATGTTGAAGCTTAAAGCAATTTGCAAAAGGCATAGCGGATTGATTCCAGTGTCATTGGGATTGATTTTTGTTATGATTTCACAGAAAAGACTGTCTTTTCTTATGAAATTTATAATTCAATTTTATAATTCTTTAAATAAACATTCCAAAAAAATTAGTTTTCACAACCATGTGTTTAAATTACATTTGAAAATTATAAATATTTATAATCAATTTGAGAAGAGCAAATTGTAAATGTTACCTTTTCACATATTTATAAAAATGTTTCAATAAGTCTATGAACAGATATACATTGTCTTACAAATCTATTATAATTTCAATTTGCCAAGAATAGCTTGTATTTTGTAAAAAAAACTATATAATAAGCATTACTGACTTCTCATTTTGGTTATTTCTCACTAATTCTGTAATATGTACAATTTCCAATATAATCATTTAAAATAAGTTTCCAAAATTTAAAAAGTATGTTGTTATAAAAACTATTTGGAAAAGTATTTTTGTGCTTGCTGTTAAGATTACGAATTACATGTATGGTTACATATTTTAATTGTTAACTATTCAATGAGAAAAATAGAGAGTTTGTTATAAGTCATTTTTCTTTTTTCAGGATTTGCTATCCATATTACATTCTTGGATACCTTATAACTATTTAGCAGAATGTACCAGCTATTGAATCGATATATTGACTTATTTATGAAATAGATTTAAGAAATTATAAAAGAAAGCAAGGATTATAAATTGGACAATTGTAAGCACATTTATGTATATTTTTTGCATTATAGTAAAACAGTGTAGTACATATGTATATTCATAATAGCAGCATGCATATAATATAATGACTACTATAAAATTTATTTAAAATATCTAATCACTCATGTAGTTATTTATTGGTGGAAATAGTCATATTATCACTTATTACTTCAATTATATTAATTTTAGCAGCATTTTAATTAAGCAAAAAATATTATAAGATATATAATAAGCACAATTTTGTGAATATGCAAAATATTCTATAAAAAATTGATTCATATTATATTATTTTTATATAGGTCATGGATGACTGTGATTTACAAGTATTAATCAATGACCATATAGAAATTGGTAAAAGTCTATTAGAAATATTGAAATCTTTTGATAGTGTTGATGGAGTAGCAAAATTAGTAACTAAAATAAAGAAAGAAATAAAGTTTCTTGAAAAAGTATTAAAGAATAATGATCTTCAACCAGACTACGTGTGCTGTACTAACTTAAATTATTTAAAAGCTATTGTTCAATGCTTATTACAAGAACACAATATTATTCATGTATTTTATCCAGTCACCATTGATAATAGAAAAATTTATATTGATGTAATAAGTGATAATGGAGGCTCCTGGATTAAAGTTATTGCACGCAACAAAAAGTCATTAAGTGAGGCTGCTTTAGGACAAACTACAACTAAAGTTCGAAGTGTTATAGATCATAGCAATGATTATTTATCTGCAGCAAAATTAAAACCTATATATTACAAAGAACCTCAGATCAAGTTTATTTTTGCCAATGGTGTCGATGATTTTCTAAAATTAGAATTGGAAGCAAAAGGTGTATTTGTAGTCAATTCATTGGATGAAAATAAATCACTAATACCCAGTGAATTGTTCTTAAAACATTACAACAATATTAATACATTAAATTTAGATATAACTGCTATGATAGCATATGTTAGTAATCTTACTAATGGGCATTGTAATATTGAATTAAAAGAACCACTTTTAGCAGAACAAGCTAGATGGGAAAGGGAGCGACCAGTAAATACTATTTTAAACCCTTTATTTAACGGGAAAAATCTTATTTGTTGTGAAACTGCTAAAATAGCATTCGAAACCATTATACAAACAATTGGGGGTCCTGAAGAAAAGGCTAGAGCTGCAAACTTATTAGAAAGAGTTACAACTTTACCAGATGATGCCAATCGAGATGATGATTTTTTTCAAAGTATTAAAATATGTGGAAGGATAAAGCCAAGATCAAAAATAATATTTTTGTTTGGACATTTCTTAAAGGCCATCACTGTGACTGCAAATCAAGGGTTCATTGAAGCTGCTAAACAACAATCTTTTGAGCCAGTTGTGTTTTTGCATGAACCAAGGGCGTTAACAGAATTGAAACAGATCCAAATCATATAATTTGATTTTATTTTTAGCTGTATGTGACCTGAGAGACTTTTTATTAACATTTATCAAACTTAAATTGAACTTGTTTAACATACAATATTATTATTAAGAAAGAATAACTTTAAATTATAAAAATAGAATGAGTTATGAGTTATGAAAAAATAATAAGAATCAAGTATATTATTTCATTATATTATGTGTTAATATTTAATTTATTTTCTTATTAAGTAAGAGAAAAGAAAATGACTTAAAAAAAAATCAAACTAATTTATTTTGTAAACCTTTTTCTATTTTTTAAATATAGCTTAGAATATATTCAACACTTTTATTTTTCTTTGAATATCAATTAACACTTGTAACTAAATTATATCTGGTTTTAGCAACTTGAAGATATATAATGAACATTACATCTTATAGATATGTAATTTTGCTTTTCGGGATGTATTATATTTGGAACATTAATTTTACATATATCCTGTATTATATTTATTGATTATATATTACTAATGTTATTTAATTTTTCAGGCAATGGAAGAAGATATTGACCTCAAATCAAAGCTGCCGAATCGGCTTAATGAACTGTTACAAAAAGGTAATTTCTATACATATATATATATATATATATATATATATATATATATATATACACCTAAGTCTGTTTTTACACGGAGATTGGTTCCAGAAGAAGCCGTGTAAAAAAAAAAACGTGTAAAAAAAGACATTGATCTTATACAAAAATGGGTGATTTGTTCCTAATTTCTAAAACCTATTAAAATTGGTGAAAAACAAGAATTTTAAAGAACTAGAATTAAATTAGTGCTATTCACATTTGCTTTGACCAGTAAAAATTGTTTGTACGCGCTAAAGGGGAATTCACCTAAATCTTTAAGCTAGTGTTCGCAAACTATCGATACTATCAATGGTTTCAGACTTTTTTCTTTCATAAATACTTTTTTGTGATATGAACATACTTCGCAAAAATTAAATTTGACAAAAAAAATTTAGGTACATAAAATTTCAAATCGTGCTAAATGGAATAAATTCGTGTAAAAAAATTAAAAATATTCAATTTTCAAACCGTGTTATATCAAAACCGTGTACAAAAAGACCGTGTAAAAACAGACTTAGGTGTATATATATATATATATATATATATATATATTCATTCAACTTGAATTCTTCTTTAAAACTATTGCATATTTTCTAGTTGGAATAGAAACTGCACAGGAATTAATATTAAAGTCTGATATAGAATTACAAGATATGGCCTCATTTTCCTCCGACGATTTAAAGTTTTTGAAAAAATCTGCTGCAGAAATTATATTGCATAAAATGCAGTTTTCTACAGGTGAAAACAGAATTCTTATCCTATTATAATTTTTGATTGTTTAATTAATGTTGTCCCTCATACATTTCATAGGATTAGAACTATATATGAATACATGTCACCATATCAAAAAAATTAAAATTGGATGTCCTTTAATTGATAGAATTTTGGATGGTGGATTAACTTGCAGAGGAATTACAGAAATTTCAGGTGAAAGTGGAACTGGAAAGACACAAATATGCTTACAGTTATGTATAATGGTTCAGTACCCGGAAGAAATTGGTGGTCTAAATGCAGGTTTATATAAATTATACCTCAATGATGTATATATATCCAAATCTTTAATATTATAAACCAAATAGGTGCAGTTTATATTTGTACAGAAGATGTTTTTCCTAGCAAGAGACTTCAGCAATTGTTTCAAACATTTCCAGTTTCTTTTGCCAAACGATATAGATTGAAAACAAGTTTCACAACACAATTTGCTGATAATATCTATATAGAACATGCCTCTGATGCAGTAAGAGAATCATTTTTTTAACCATCATACCAAAAAATTGAATTATTCTCACAATCACGTGTTGCCTAAATTACATTTGACTATTATAAATATTTATAATGAATTTGAGAAGAGCAATTTGTAAATGTAAAAAAAATAATTATATATCTTTCCATAAATTAAATGAGATGAACATTAGAACCAACCTTTTACAAAACATTGTTTTTTTTCTAGGAAAGTTTGGTAAAAATTATTTGCAATGACGTACCACGTTTAATGGCAAATAAAAAAATAGGCTTAGTTGTAATTGATTCAATTGCAGCAGTTTTTCGAATTGAATGTGTGTCACCAAAGAGATCAAATATGATGCGGTCAATTGCATTATCTCTGCATAAGCTAGCTAAATCTTATGAATCTGCAATAATATGTGTGAATCAGGTAAATATATTAAATTATAACTCACAGAATTGAGATTCCTATTTATTTGTATTTTGCACAGGTTAGTTCTAATATCTACAATAACTCCTTAGTACCATGTTTAGGACTTTCTTGGGCTAACTTAGTCACAACAAAAATTCAACTGCATTATGATTTTGGGAACAAACGATTTCCTAATGAAGGGCAGAAATCTTCCAGAATTTTTAGAGTTGCATCTGCTCCACATTTACCACCAAATTCAATTTCTTATGAAGTTACAGAAGCTGGAATTTCAGGTAAATAAAAAAATAACTATAAATGTTAAATGCCAATAACAAGAATGGTTTTATCAATACCAATTTGAAAATTTATTAAACGTATATTGGAAGTTACACTGAATGTAGTTTATGAAAAAATGTTTTATCTTTATAAATCTTATACTTAACACAAACTAAAATCTATATTCAATATCATAACAGTTACTTGTTAATGACGATAAGCACTTATATCTTATTTCATAACGTTAAAAACACTTCTCTTATTCCATAAGTAAAGCTCCAGATGCATAGCTTACACTTGAATCGGCCATAGTTACACATTGTGAACTTTGGGCATATTGTAAAAATTTCAAAGACATCTTGTAACCCGATCTTTGTAAACTTGCTACAGCCTTTAATGTAAAAAAATAAACAAAGTTACAAAGGTGATCATGGCATAACATTTTTACCTTAAATATAGCGAAGTGGATAATATTTACCTGCAAAAGAACACCTATTGGATGTCTACCACAAATAGTATTTCCATATTTCTTTAAGTAAGAATAGAAAGATTCAGGATCCAGGTTTTCAATAATATCCATTCCCTGAGAAATAATTGAGTTATAAGTGTGAATAATTTTAGCCAACTAGTATAGAACTAGTATAAAATACTACTTACAAGTTTATCAAGATTTTCAATAGATTGATAAATTTTTGTAAATGATTTGTCATAATAAGTATATCGAAATCTTTGACCCCAATGACAGAAGTCACTTGAAATTACAAATAGATTTTGTGGATCAGCTAAATATTTTGCTAATAATTCTCCATATACTGCCTCTCTTTCAGGTGGAATAGATCCAACCAATATCGGGATTACAGTATACTGATCTTTGTAACTGGAAATGGAAATTATTATAAACAAAATAAAGGTAAGGTATTCTTATTTGATAATGACTTACTCCGACATAACTTTTGCTATATAAGGCAAATGCATTTCTATACTGTGTTCATCTTCATCTGTTTGCATGTCCATCCATTCAAATTCTCCAGTTGCTTCTAACTCCTTATATACTAAAAGTAATATAAAAATATAAGTTGTATAACCATGCAATATATATATATATATATAATATATATATATATATATATATAAATCATACTCAATACTTCAAAGTTATATAATTATAACTTACTTCCTGTGTCGATTAACAGATCATACAAAGGAGTTTTATATTTTCGAGCTGATGATAGAGCACATCCATTAATTCGAACATGATGTGATGGACCCAAAATGAACACACGTTTGCTGATAAAATAAAAAATAAGATTCAATTTATATATATATATATATATATATATATATATATATATATAAGAGCAATATAAAAATTTCTACTCACACCACTGCTGGGCTCACTTGCCGATATGCAAATGCAGCACATGCACCACAATACGTATAGCCTGCATGTCTGAAAATTTCAAGTATTTTCTTAGACTTTGTCTATTAAGTTATGATTGTGCATGTAAACTTACGGTGCAATGATTGCTCTTGCTGGTCCATGACTTAATTCAGCTTGTCCCAACCAGTTATCAAGTTGCCTACTCAGCTCAGGACCTGTTTTAGAGATAGATACTTGTTAATGGATATATGGATTTATAAAAATGATTCAAAGCTGTTGCAATATTCTGAAACCTATATTATATTAATATGCAAAACTTCTGTATTAAATTAGTTAAGTAAAATTAAATGCCTATATGCTTTAATCCAACAAAGCCAGTTTAGAATGAACAAATTAAAAAAGAGTGAAAATTGCTACAACTGAATTCATACTTTTTGAAGTAAAACTTCTTTAGACGCGACTAGAGTGTAAAATTGTGAGAAGGCAACGAAAATTGCGTTCGTTTTTGATGAAATCATTTCTATAAGGGTCGATTGTGATTAGTCGTCGTGTCGCGTGAATCTGATCTGTCGTTGTATGCGTACCGATATCGACAAGGAAATCAGCATAGATGAATAACATTTTAAGGTTACATGGTAGTACAAATCTTGATTTAATAAGAAATGCCTGAATCAGAAGAATATTTTACCCTGTTTCCCGTAAATAATTATAATGAAAATAATAAAAATAAATAAAACATTTGTGCTGTGTACTAAACGTAAGTTTATTGAAATAATTTCTATATTATTCATAGCTTTTATAAATCTTTGAAGTTATTAAAATGGGAATATTTTAGGCAAGACAGATTTTATAGCTGCTGAAAGAATGAGATTATATCGACAGTGAAAAAGTAAAAAAATACAATCAGTCAATGAATGTATGTTAATTTTAATTACGTGAAGTTCTTCAAATACAATTATTACATGATTAGTGAAATTGTGAAAACAATATTTCTTTAGGCGTTGTTTTACATAATCCACTGTGTGAACGAATATTATAGAATTTATTAATCAGCAATTACTTCATTTCTCTAATGGAAAGTCCAAGTCCTAAATGCTATTACAATGACAAACCTATCATTTCATATTTGAAATATGACTTTAATTACATTATTGATTGAAAATTAATTATTTATTGTTTTTTTATTCAA